CTTCTTGGCCACAGCCAGCTACCCAGAGGGAGCAAGTAGTTGAACCTGTGGGCTTGGGACCACAGTCGCAGGGGACATTAAGTTGAACTGCATAACACACTACACAAAACGTTGTTCCATCTCCTACTTTGGCAAGTAGCGACTGGGATCTTAAAAGCCTGCAAGCAGCCATCTAGATGCAGCAGTGGGTCTCTCCTCGTCCAGGGCAAAGAAGAACGAAGAAAACCAAAGAGACATGGAAACAATTAGTCCAAGCAACTGGTACACCATGCGATCCTCAGCCTTTATGAATGTGAGACCAGAAGAACTAGATGGCGCCAATCTACCACTGTCAACAACTTGGAGGGGGATCTATTTAGGAGATCCTGGATAGAGTGGGAGACAGTGTGGAATGAAACTCAAAATTATTTGGGGGAAAAAAAAAGGGACCAAGTTTGCTGGTCTGATAGAGCCTGGTAGAACCACTGAGACTAAGGCCCCCAGCTGCCCTTCAGGTCTGGAATTGAACCCACACCTGTGGCTTCCAGCCAAACAAAACAGTCATAAGAGATGAACATTTACATAAGGTAGATACAGTCCTTGGAGAGAACAATCATGGGAGAATAGAAGGGCTGTGTATGCACAGGGAGACAGCTCAGGGGCAGGAGTGCATGGAGGGATGGACACAGGGAAGAGGTAACTATGGGGAGGAAGTGGGAGGGGAGCTGTTGCACTGGGGTAAATTGTAGTCAATGTCATGAGAGAAAGTGTATGTGAACTGCTGTATGGAGAGTGAATTTGCTCTGTAAACGTTCACCCAAATCACAATTTTTAAAAAAGAATTAGATATTAAGTATAGAACTCTGATATGTTGTTTGTCTTCGAGTCAGACCCAACTCATAGCGACCCCTCCTTGGGTTTCCCAGCAGTATCACTACGGAAGTAGATTGCCCAACTTTCCTTTCGAGGAGTGTGGTGGGTTTGAACCACCAGCCTTCTGGTTAGCAGTCAAATGCCTTAGGCACTATGCTACCAGAACTCTAATATAATACAGAATTTCCCAAGTAAAACCACTTTTATCCTTCAGAAAAAATATATTTTAAGATACAGCTCTGAAACTTAGAAGGTGAGAAACCTTAGGAAAACCCCTATATTAAAATTTTAATTCTATGAGGAAAAAAACATATACTGTGTTTTCCGCTTATCTAAATTGGTAGGAGCTCTGGTGGCATAGTGCCTAAGGCATTAGACTGCTAACCAGAAGGCTGACGGTTCAAACCCACCACCCACTCCTCAGAAGAAAGGTTGGGCGTGATCTACTTCCGTAGTGATACGGCCTCGGAAAACCTAGAAGGGGTCGCTATGAGTCGGATCCAACTTGACAGCAGTGTGTTTGGTTTTTCTTTTTTATGTATCATTGGTAGCTTAAAGCTGGAAATAAAAATTATAAACACATACATACATGCATACAGACACACACACACATGCCTACAGATGAAGACCCAAAGAAAAAGAGGGACAAGAATAATAAATAAATAAATACAAGATATAAAGGTAATAGTATCCTGGAATTAAAAAGTGATGATGAATGACCACATACTAATTTGGAGAGTTAACTCCTAGAATTGATTTGCTAGGTTTGAGATAATTCTAAATGATCAGAATCATTGTGAGACCTCCCATAGTACTTTCTAAGGTAATAAATGCTTGTTCAGTGAATGCTTTTAAAAAACTGAACTATTATAATTTTCTAGCACTGGTTTACTTCTCTTTTCTAATAGATGATATATATGCCAGTAATACATGCCATAGTATTGGTTGAGAGCACAACTGAAATGTAATACTTTAAACCTTTGGAGGCTTTTGATACTATAGCCGATGTCACTCGTTGGGGGTTTGCAAGTGGGGAAGGGAATAAAAAGTGAAGAGTTACTGCTTTTAAATGTTTCCTCTTGATTTTGGGGGAAAAAAAAGGTTTTATCTTCTTCCTTTTATCTTAAATATGTCACTCTTCTTTTCTTTTCTGCTAATAAGGGAAAAGCTTTCAGCAGCAAAGGGAAGCCATGAAGCAGACCATAGAAGAAGATAAGGAGCCAGAAAAATCAGGTTGGACATTTATACTTGACATTATTAAGAGTTTCCTGGGCTTCCATCTGGGACATGTGTAAATTTGCATATCACTTAGAACTTTTAAGGAAGCTATATTCATGTGAGAGACAAAACTAATTATCTTAGGACTCTGAAGAAAAGACAAGATTTAAGTATTAAAGATTATCTGTTTATTTTTATTAATGGAAAGTGATGAATACATCTCTAAAAATAGTTCTTCTATGAACAATGTAATAAGTTTATAATAATTATTTAAATTACAAACAATTTGTGTTCTTCAATTTGAAATATGTTGCTTTGTTCAAGAAAACAAATACCACATTTAGAGTTACGCTTATGGTTACTCAACAGGAAAACTGTGGTGTGCAAAGAAGAATAAAAAGAAGAGGAAAAAAGTTTTATATAATGCCAATAAAAATGATGGTAAGTTCTACTCTCAGATGCAGTGTAGTTCTATCTGAAAGGGGTCCAGATATAACACTTTAAAGAAATTAAATTCATACTCAGGGAGTTTTACCATTAGACCCAATTTTCCTATTTTATCTTCAGAAATGTCCTTAATAAAGTCATTTCACAGAATCCAGTTTCTCTGGAACACTGGTGCAGTGTTCTGAATTCTAGGAAAAACTAGGATAAAAATGAAAGTTATTTAAGATATATAGTATTATAGTGATAGTTTCCTCAGTTTTCTTTTCTACTTATACTCTTTATAAAAGTAATAAAAGCTTCTAACAAATTCTAACAATACATATGTGTTTAAAGTAAAAAATGAAAACTTCATCTACAATAATAACTCGTGTCACAGAAGCAACCCATTCCATAGATCCTACTGCCTCGTGGCTGAATCAGGTATACAGAGTGTTTTTGTTCTATTATTTTGAACCCACCCATTGGCTTCAAGAGAGAAAGATGTAATGTTCTGCTTCTACAGAGATTACAGCCTGGAAAACCCCAGGGGACAGTTCTTTTTCACCTAAGGTTGGTAGGACTCAAAAACTGACTTGACAGCATTTAACAAATTAAACTAATAATGAAGATAAAATGTTAAAGATGATTGAAATATCCCATTCAAAACCAAACCTTAGATTCAACTGACTTTAATAATGTTTTTTTTAAAACGCTTTTATGCTGACAAAATATGTAACTGAAATTTATTGAATTTTTAATCCTGTTCTCTCTACTTGGGTAAATGATTAATATCTCTTTTTCTTGATCTTTTGAAATAGACTAAAATTAACTGGTCCAGCTCTAAGGGCTACTACAGAAAATTTGACAAATCTGAAGTCTATGTAGATATATCTGACTGTACATGTTAGAAGAAGGAACTCAGATTTTTCAGGGGAAAAGCATTTTGGGAAAGAAGGGATTATATTTGTGATTTATCATAGTGTCATCCTCATCAGCAGTTTCATTAATAACTACCATTTATAATAACTTCTCTATCACAGGGTAGTATCAGATGCTTTAGATACCTTTGTCCATTTAGTTCTCAAAATAAATTCCTTGAGGTTACAGATGAATAAATTCAAGTTCAGATACTACAGTGACCTATTGAACTTCTCACAGCTAATGTATGACTGGATCAGGAATTTAAACACATATATTTTGAGCTCCTGCTATGTGTCAAGGAGCTCTGGTAGCATAGTGCCTAAGGCACTTGACTGCTAACCAGAAGGCTGGTGGTTCAAATCCACCAGCCACTCCTCAGAAGGAAGGTTGGGCAATCTACTTCCCTAGTGATACTGCCTCAGAAACCCAAGGAGGGATTGCTGTGAGTTGGGTCTCAACGGCACATAACAACAACAACTATGTGTCATACTCTGGTAAGCACTGGCAAGGCCAAGATGGTCCCCTGCCCTCAAGAAACAGAGCTGAGGAGAGCATCAGACTTCACAGCAGCTGGTCTTTCCTAGTCAGGTGAAATAATGAGAAACGTCATAGCAGCCCACTGGCTGTCTGCCTTTGCTTTCAGCACTTAATTTCATGTTGGTTATGGGCTATCAGAATGTAATGCCACCCATCATAATTTACACCTCATCTTGAGTCATGATTCTGGTTTGGTATTCCAGAATAGAGTAAGCATAAATGCAGAATGTATGGATAGCACAGGTTAGACCTGTTTTCAAGGTATACAATTATAGGAAGGTGTTCCAGCTTTCTCTAATAACATTAGTTTTAGCCACAATTTCTGAATGTTTGTGTATACCGGGTGTTCTACTCAGTATATTCATTACGTCTGATCCTTAAAACAACCCTCTAAGTACAGTGTTAGTGTCCCCGTTTTACAAATATGACAGATATTAGTCTCATTTGTTTATCTCTTGGTGTCCCACCCTATGTGAATGTATTGGCTACAAATAGCTATTTTATATAAGCATTAGTATAATTATATTAGCCATTCAAACATAGTGTGAAATAAGAGAAGCAGTAAAAATTCCTAGAAGGATTACTATGTAGTTGTTTGATTCATTTTCATAATATTCCAGCAAGGATATAATGACATAGAGAAGTGCTCATCATTCTGATCCAAAAAATTACATATTTTTGATGATAATGTGCTTTCCAGTTTTTTGGAAAGTTGTTGTTGTGTTGTTATTTGCCATCGAGTCGGCCCCAACTCCTAGCGACCCCTCCTTGGGTTTCCGAGGCAGTTATCACTACGGAAGTAGGATTGCCCAACCTTCCTTCCGAGGAGTGGCTGGTGGGTTTGAACCGCCAGCCTCCTGGTTAGCAGTCAAGTGCCTTAGGCACTATGCTACCAGAGCTCCCTTTTTGGAAAGAGCTATGATTATTTATATCTTTGTTATATGGCAGTAATTCTGATTGAAGGGCTTAACTTTTTCTTTTCAAAGATTATGACAATGAGGAGATCTTAACTTATGAGGAAATGTCACTTTATCATCAACCTGCAAATAGAAAAAGACCTATCATCTTGATTGGTCCACAGAACTGTGGCCAGAATGAGTTGCGCCAGAGACTCATGAACAAAGAAAAAGACCGTTTTGCATCTGCAGTTCCTCGTAAGTTTGGATGTATTCCCATTTGCCTGTGCTTTTCCAGTTTACCACCTTGGAAGACCTACCTATGTAGGAAAGTTTTTCATCTATTTCATCCATCCATTGTTGTCAATGATAGAGGAACTTTGTTTAACCAGACCTTTTGGTAATATGTTACTAAAGATAGTACTTGTTCTGGTTACCTTGTGCCGCTCTGACAAGAAATATACCACAAATGGGATGGCCTTAACAAACAAATTTATTCTTAAATTTGGAGGCTTTAAGTCCAAGTTCAAAGTGCCAGGCTCTAGGGGCTGGGTGATAGCCCCTCAACCCTGGAGTCCAGCTCTGCCTCCTGCTCCCGGCCCACTGGAGCTAGAGGCATTTCTTCACTCAGACAGCTGCTGGCTGCTGAGGCTGAGAAGCCCCAAGTTTGACAAATAAAAAGACACAGTCCCGATGTTACCAATCCACACGGCAGGCCATTAACTTAAGTCCATTGTAAGTCCCAAGGTCGGTAGAGCATAGCAGGCTGCTGAACAACGACATGGCTCCATGCAGGGTCCAAGCGTGCCAAAGGCTAGAGACCATTCTCAAAGCTTCTCCTTATACACAGGAAGCAGACCACATACCCAAAGGCAGCTATTCAGCTGCTCCCAGTAGATTCAACCATGGAGCTGATTACCAGTCTCATCGTAGGGAATACTACATTCAGCTGCCCAGCCACTCAACCAGGCCCAGCCAAGTTGATATACAAACATAACCATCACATTACTTTTTAAATGAATTTCAGTTTGAGCTGCTTATAATACTTTGTTCAATATGGAATCCGCTTCCTGATTCTTTATACTGATGCTACAGATAGGAATTTAGACCTAATCTCTGAAAATGGAAATTCTCTTTTAAGATTATAAAGTACCTAATATTGTGGAGGAGTCCCTGAGTGGTGCAGGTGGTGACCACACTTGGTTGCTAACCAAAAGGCTGGGAGGTTTGGGTCGACCCAGAGGCACCTTGCAGGAAGACCTGGTGATCTACTGAGAAATCAGCCACTGAAAGCCCTATAGAGTGGAGTTCTGCTCAAATGTAACTATTATTAAGATACGAAAAACCCATTTTTTGTCATAACTCAATATAGAATTAAAAAACCAGTGTTAAACACATGAGCTTTTAATATTGTCCTCAAGTGATTAATTTATAATCTGTATTACAATGTAAAAACTTCTGACTGCCATTAATTTTACCTGATTTTGTTTGCTTAGATACAACTAGGAGTAGACGAGACCATGAAGTACCTGGTAAAGATTACCACTTTTTTTCACGGCAAGCATTCGAAGCAGACATAGCAGCTGGGAAGTTCATTGAGCATGGTGAATTTGAAAAAAATTTGTACGGAACCAGCATAGATTCTGTGCGGCAAGTGATCAACTCTGGCAAAATATGTCTTTTAAGTCTTCGTACACAGGTAAAACTAAAATTTTTATTTAAGGTGTTAAACTTTAGGGCAAGTTTTTGTAGAGTAAATTTAGTGGTAACTTTGTATTTTGGTATAAGAACCAAATGACCTAATTAAATTCTAATACATTTTTTTTCTCTATTGATTTGCTATATATTAAGTTACTAAATCTCTTTCAGTTTTCTCAAGAGGAAAAATACATACATATTTATACATGTAATAGTTTTTGAAACTTAAATACAGTTTAATGCTACCAGTACTTAAGAGAATTTCTCGTATTTAAAAAATTAAAATACTTAAAAATTTTGACAGGCAGAGAGAATCACCAACAGCTGTATCAGCCCAAGACTGATTCCTGTGAGGCAAAAGTCAGACATGCTTCCTCTTTGCAACCTTTTTACCAATTCTGATACCTCCCATGACACTCTCCACTTCTCTGCTGGGTTCAACAGTTTGTTGCAGTGGCCACACAGAACTCACAGACAATACTCACAATTACAGGGTTTATTAGGAAAGTAACAGGTTGAAATTATGGATCAGGAAAGAGTCAGTATATAGTTCTTCAGTCTGGACAGCTGCTCTCAGCCTTGCCTACAGGCAGGCCTCTCTCTGGCCTTATAGCTTTCATTATGGATTTGTTGTTAGGAGGTGTATCAAGTTGGCTCCGACTCATTGCAACTACATGCACAAGAGAATGAAGCACTGCCCAATCCTGTTTCATCCTCATAATCACTGCTGTGTTTGAGCCCATTGCTGCAGCCATTGTGTCACTCTATCTCATTGAGGGGTCTTCCTCTTTTTCTCTGACCCTCTACTTCACCATAATACCCTTCTCCAGAGACTGGACCCTCCTGATAACATGTCCAAAGTATGTGAGACAAAGTGTCAACATAAATAAAAATCCTCACAACTGGACCATTAAACAACATCATGGTAAATGGAGACAATACTGAAATTGTCAAGGATTTCATTTTCCTTGGATCCACAATCAATGCCCAAGGAAGTAGCAGCTAAGAAATCAAACAAGGAATTGCATTAGGCACAGCTGCTGCAAAAGACTTCTTTAAAGTGTTAAAAAGCAAATATGTCACTTTGAAGACTAAGGTACACTTGACCCAAGCCATGGTATTTTCAGTCACTTTATATGTATGCAAAAGCTGGAGAATGAGTAAGAAGACTGAAGAAAAATTGATGCATTTGAATTATGGTGTTGGCAAAGAATACTGAATATCCCATGGACTGTCAGAAGAACAAACAAATGTCTTTGAAGAAGTCTAGCCCAAATGATCCCTTAGAAACAAGGATGGCAACACTTCACCCCATGTACTTTGGGTATATTATCAGGAGGGGCCAGACCTTGGAGAAGATCATGATGCTTGGTAAAGCAGAGAGTCAGTGAAAAAAAGAAAGACCTTCAATAAGATGTCTTGGCTTAGTGGTGGCAACAGTGGGTTCAAACGTAGCAACAGTTGTGAGGATAGCACAGGACCAGGCAGTGTTTTGTCATACAGAGAGTCCCTATGTGTCAGAACCAACTGGATGGCACCTAACAACAAAACAACACTTAAGTATTTTACAGATTATAAAAGAATTTCCCTTTTCTGGTTCTGATCTGAGAAAACTGAAAATTTAAAGGTAATTCTTAAGGTTTTAAATGCCATTGCACACGTAGCAACAAGTATCACAGTGAATGCTTGGTTTTGTCTAAATGAAACCTGATACTGTTTCTATTTGCAGACCAATCTAAAGTTTACAATTACTAACAAATGCCTCTTAGATTTCCATTTAAAAAGATAAAATAATTTCAGAAATGTAGGTTGTGTAGATTGTGTTTCTTTAGATCTTGTAGTTCTTTTCTTCTCCTCCAAGTATACAGCTTAAGTATAAAACTTTCCTTACTATGGTATGATCTACTGCTGTATCAACAGGCTAGTCAGGGCCAATAAAGAGACATACACATAAAGGAGAATTGACTCTACAATGGCTGTCCTGAAATAGTAATCAGATTTTGTTTTCAGGTGACAAGAGTTTTGGCTCTATCTTTTAATTAAAAACATTTCAGAAAAATCTAAGTATGTTTATACTGAATTCCTTCAGAGTTCTCTGGGTTAACAGATTTTACCAAAGAACTCAGAGTAGTTAAGTATATTGTCTTAATTATCCTAATATTTTTAGATTAAAAAGGGCATGTCTCTGCATTTTTTAATTCTTATTATTGTGTTTAAGATGAAAATTTACATACAAATTAGGTTCCCATTTCTTATATGTTATTCAGTGATATTGGTTTCATTTTTCACATCATTATTCTCATTCATTCTCTTCTGGTTGTAGCATTTGCAGTACTCTAGTTTCCCTGTCCCCTTCTCATCTTTATTTTAGAGTAATTTTTGACCATTTGGTCTTTTATAGATGATTTTTCTTAAAGAAGCTTATTCATTACTCATGAAGGATAGTCTTTATGAGCCTCTCTGTTATTTAGCTAAAAGGTGATCTTACGGGATTTCAGTTAAGGTTGAAAGCCTATCACAGCAATAGTCTTGGGGAGTCTTCTAGTCTCAACCAGTCCGGTAAATCTGCACTTTTTAAAAATTAGAATTCTGTCCCACTTTTCTCTCCTGTTCTATAAAGATCCATCTATCAGAGCCCTGATCAGAACAGTTGGTAGTGATAGCCAGGTACCATTTAGTTCTATTGGTCTCAGGGCAGATGAGGCTGTGGTCAAGGTTGATTATTAGTCTTAAAGACTACTTTCTTTTCTGGTTTTCTTCTTTTTTGTTGCAGAGGTATAAAGACCAATAGTTGTATCTTTTATGGACAGTTGCCGAGCCTTTAAGACCCCAGAAATTACTCACCACATTGGAATGTAGAACCTACACTTTATGAACAATATTATGCCATTCACCTGAGTTGTCCCATGAGACTGTAGTTCTAAGTCTTCAAATCCCAAAAACCAAACCAGTCTCACAAGTTGTTTGTTTATATGTCTCAGAAGTATTCATACCTGTGTCCCCTATTTGGCTTATTTTATATATGTGAATATGCATGCATGCATGCATACATCATGTACAAGGTTGGTGATAAAATGTTTTATTATTATTATTATTATTATATAGTGCCTATAGGTACTTGTGTGTACACAAACGTACCCACAAAATCATACTCTGATACTTATATACCTATATACATATTTGTGTAACCACACACATTTTTGGTGGTTGCTGGGTTGTTGAAAAATTGTATTTTCATATCCTTTACCAAAGACCACCTTTTCTCTTGTGCATTTCTTAGTGACATCATTTACTTTGGTCAGTCTATGTGCAGTTCAGCTACATTCAGAGTCCATTTTTCTTAAATACGCTTTTCTGGAATTTTCTTTCACGAGTGGTGTGAAGTTTTTCTTTCTGATTCTGCTTGCATGTAGTGCTGGTACATAGTAAGGTCTCATTGGTAATTCAAAATGTATTTTTATATGGTTGTCATAATCTGTATGTAATCTTATCAGGCTATTTTAACACAACATAGGTGTCATCTTTCAGTGCCATTCAGTTGCATTTTATTATATAAAAGAGCAAGCACTAATATTTTATAGATCAATAGACACATATATATTCTCTCTGTTGCTGTTCCTTCAAAGTTTGTGTTAGCTTTTTTCTCAAGTACCCCTTTAGGATAGGAAATTGCTCCTAACACTATTTTGTGTGAGTGATTTGGGTAAAAGTTTACAACACAGTGCATTCTTATTGTGAACAATATGATCTTAAATATTGTATAGTGTTTATTATTTAAACATGTTTAGAAAATAGTCAAGGCAATGTTTAAAATTCCAAGTATCTTTTCTTTGCAGTCACTGAAGACGGTCCGGAATTCAGACTTGAAACCATATATTATCTTCATTGCACCCCCTTCACAAGAAAGACTTCGGGCGTTATTGATCAAAGAAGGCAAGCATCCAAAGGTAAGGTGGTTATACTGCTGTTCTGTTCCATTGAAGATAAACATGAAACATCCTGGCCTGATCCATCTCCGTGCTTAAAAGCTACATCAGCTTGAGCTTTCAAACTGATTGTTCTTTCTGCCATATCACTTTCCTAAAACTTTTCATGGTTGCTTCTGGTTGGACTGAGAGTTCTGCAAAGGAGGGAGCTTCTGTTGTTCCCACACCTTCTCAGTCTTTTTGCCCCACAGGTGGTACACCTTTGGAGTTCCTTGAAACTTTTCTCTTCTTCACGAGTCTATAGCATTTCCAGGGGGATTATATGGCACCCAAAGTTCTTAGCAGAGTTTTATGGATTATCCCCTTTTCTCTGATTATTCCAAATCTGCAGGGAGCCAAAAGTGAACAATCTTCTTTTTCTTTTTTCCATTGAATTTTTATGTTCTGTTTTTCTTCTCCCTCTGGTGTTCTCACATAATCTGAAGTCGGAAAATGTTTAAAAATTATTTTAGATGTATGCTGGACAGGGTTGAGTATAGCCCTTGTTATTCTAAGTATAAGTACTGACATTACTCATTATTTCTAAGTTATTTTGGGGCCTCAGATCATTATTTATTATACTTAATATGATGTTACATGCATATAAATAATCAACAACTCAATTATGAATAATACCAACAATATACAGGCAGTCCTAGACTTACAACATATGATTCTGCACTTAACAACCATCTGTTTTTGGGGGGTTTTTTTGGTACATCTAATCATTGGTAATATGTCCTACATAGAGTGTTGCAGCATGTAATTTGCTGATGTTACATTCTCATGCCAAGATACTGATAATGAAGGCAATAATGAAGGGAAATAAAATATGTATGCAACTTACAGCAGAACCAACTTAAAACAGAGGCATCTGAACGGAGCCTCCTCATGTTGTAGATTACCTGTATCATTAGTCAGAAAGCACTACGAACACTGTATACTTTATTTTCTAATTTTGACTTAATTAGCTTTATTGAGATGTACCTTACATACGATTAAATGAGTATGTTTTAAGTGAACAGTTCAGAGTTTTGACAACTGTCTGTGTAACCACCATCCCAGTCAAGCTGAAGAACATTTCCATCACTCCAGAAAGTTTTCTTGCCCTTTTGAAATTAATCCCCTTCCATTCTCCCTCAGACAGTCATTAATCTGTTTTCACTATAAATTTAATTTTGTCTGTTCTAGAAACATATATAAATGAAACCATTCCATATATATCATTTTGTGTCTGGCTTTTGATCAGCATGTTTTTGAGATTCATCCATGTTGCATCTAACAGTGATTCATTCCTTATTGTGGAGCAGTATATACCATCATAGAAATAGAACACCAGTGCTTTATCCATTTACCAGTTTATAAACATTGGGTTCTTTCAAGCTTTGAGCTAGTATGACTAAGGCTGCTCTAAACATTTATGTAAAGTCTTTGGGTAGACTTGTTTTCATTTCTCTTGGATAGCTACCTAGCAGTGGAATTACTAGATCAAATGGGATCTATGTGTTCTAACTTTATTTATTTTTTAAAAAAAAAACCTGTTTGGAAAAAGTTTACCATTTTACACTTCCACCAATTGCTCCACATCCTGACTAACTTTTGGTATTGTCAGTTTTTTACTGTAGCCATTTTTCTTAGCCACTCTAGTATGTGTGAATTGCTATCTCATTATGGTTTTAATTTGTATTTTCCTGATGATTCACAACATTTAGCATCTTTTCATGTAGCCATTAGGGCATATTCTTTTGTGAACTGTCTCAAATCTTCTCATTTCTCAAAACTGCACTCTTTTCTTACTGAGTTTTAAGAATTTATGTTTCTAGATACAAGTCCTTTATCAGGTCTATATTGCAAATACTTTCTCCGTGTCTGTATATTTCCGTTTTCTTAATATCTTTTGCACATCAGAAGTTTAAAATTTTTATAAAGCTCATTTATTCAGTTTTTTTTTAGTTAATAATTTTTGTGTACTATCTAGAAAAATTTGCCTACTCTCAGACTGTAAAGATTTCATCCTACACTTCTTCTAAAAGCTTTCTAGTTTTAGCTTTTATATTTAGGTCTATGATCCATCTCAATAACCTTGCCTTTAGTGTGAGGTAAGGGTGGAGGTTCGTTGTTTTTAAATCCCATGTGGACAACCAGTTGCTCTAGCACCATTTGTTGAAAAAACTGTCTTTTCTTGTCACTTTAGTCAAAAATAGCCTGAACAAATTTTAAGTCTTGAAAACCAGGAAGTAAAAAGGAATGAAATACTGATGCATGCTAAAACATGGATGAACTTTGCAAATGAAAGAAACCAGTCACAAAAAGCCACATATTCTAGGATTCTGTTTACATGAAATGTCCAGAATAGGTCAATGCAGAGACACAGAAAGATAACCTAAGTTTAGCATTTACAACTTCAGCATCACAAAGTTTCAATTCTATTCTGAGTCCTAGAATGTTCTTTCAGTAATCTCAAGCTTTGAGTAGACATCAGTCTTAGCAAAAATGTCACAGTGTGTTCAATATAATGGTGAATTAGAGCCCCTGTTAGGAACAAAGGCCTCTGTGTATCACAGCCAAATGCACAACATTCCAGAATAAAAATTAAGAGAGCCACACAAGAAATGCCTCAGGACAAACCAGTGCTGTCATATTTGTAGTATGTTTCCCTTCGGTCACAGAAATTCAAGCACTTAAATGCTTTCCATTGTTTATGTAATGCAGTTCCAGTATAGCATTGATTTGGGATATCAGATATTTGGGCTCAAGTTTAATTAGTTCTCTCACTGACAGGGGTGATTTTAGGGCACTTTCACTTTTTTGAACAATTTGTGCCTGGTAATAAGAGTTCTGAGTAAGGTTTGCACATAGCCTTGCTGTCTCCTTGTCCATGTGAACCAGCCCTTCCTTTCCTTTACCCAGTATTTTTAAATGGCCTGTTCTATGTAGTTTCCTAAAATTTTTTAGGACACTTTTTGCATTGTATTGAAATAGAATAGGTATTTTATTGAAACAGACGTAATTTAAAGATGAGCAAGTCTCATGAGTTGAACATTTACCTGAGGTAGCTACACTCCTTAGAGAGAACAATCATGGGAGAAAGAAGGGCTGTTTATGCACAGGGAGACAGCTCAGGGGGCAGGAGTGCATGGAGGGACAGACACAAGGAAGAGGTAACTGTCAGGAGGAAGTGGGAGGGGAGCTGTTGCATTGTGGTAAATTGTGGTCAATGTCATGAGGCAAAGTGTATGTGAACTGCTGTATGGAAAGTGAATTTGCTCTGCAAATTTTCACCCAAATCACAATGTAAAAAAAAAAAAAAAAGATGAGCATGTCTCAAAAAAACAAAAAAATATTAGGTTATTACATCTTGGGCTGAGCAGCATTATTTTCAGAGAAACAGATACCCATTCTAATGATTCTTTTCTTTTCTTTTCCTGTAATGTTTACCCTACCAAACTCTGTAAGAGATAGAAAGGACAGGTGTTCTTTACGCGAGCCCAGAGTTACCTAGGGCTTTTGGATCCTGCTTCTTTGCTGCAGACCAGGAAGGTCCACTCTGTGTTACGTAAGATGTTAATTTTAAGAACAAATCACGATGTCTGAAAACAAGTGTGTGTAGGGAATTCAAAGTTAACAGTCTGTGCTCTTAAAGCCTACAGTCATCTTGGTGAAGTAAGAAATATATGAAAATCTAAATAGTATAAAACTGGGTATGTTGAGTCACAGATGATTCATAACTGGAGTTCAGTAGATGCTGGAGCAAAAGAAATTGCTGTGACTAGGGTGGGCTTGGAGCAGAGCTCCTGAGAAGATGTTCAGCTTCATCTGAGCCTCAAAAGGTTTAGTATTTTGAGAGAGAGAGAAGGCAGGCAATGTAAGGTCACTTCTCAAGTCTTCAGCCATTTTTGACTCATCCTCTGTTTTGCTAAGGAATGAAGCCTATTTTTATCTTCTCTTTGCAGTCTGAAGAACTGAGAGAAATCATTGAGAAGACTAGAGAGATGGAGCAGAACTACGGCCATTACTTTGATGCAGCGATTGTGAATTCAGATCTTGACAAAGCCTATCAGGAGTTGCTTCGGTTAATTAACAAGCTTGATACTGAACCTCAATGGGTGCCATCCACTTGGCTGAGGTGAAGGAAACATCCATCCTATGGCGTGACTGGACTTGATCTGGGAAACTACCAATAGGAAGATAGCCTTGATATTCCAGTGAGACTCTCCTGAGTACAAGGTGGCAAGCTGAGAAAGCTGTAGACGTATTCTTAGATTTCTTAATGAGAAGAAAGTCTCCTTACCAATTTGTGTAAGGATTCAATACTCTCCACAAATGGCTTTAGGGGTCTTGCCTCATTTTAGTTTTCTAAATGAAAGCTTTCAATAGAGTTGTTCCATTTTATCCATTTTTTAACCAACTTAAATCTTTTCTGCCTAGTCATATCTCCATGAAAAATGTGTGTGTGTCTGTGTGTGTGTTCACATCAGTCCATGCCTCACATAGTTGTAAATGTTAATGTTATTTAACATTTAAATGCTTCATGGAAACCTTTTTAAGACTGTGCTTTTTTTTTTTTTTTTTTTGCACTGGTCAAAATAGTATTTGCTTAGGAGATTGATTGGTTTAGTCATCAGAAATGCTTTCCTTGAAGATAAAGAAAAAACAAAATGGTGCCACTTTGGTCTGGAACTACTTTCTTTAGGCTAAAATTCACTTGTATGTCTTTTAATTCTAAGAAACATTCCATTAGCAACACTAGCTTGTTTAGCTCAAGCTCTGTGGATCAGACTTCTAGCACACTCAGCAGTCTGTAATCTGATGAAAGTTATATGACATATGCTGATCTTTTTAAAGATGTGATGATTTTTGAACTTTTTTTCTTAGATTGTCTCAATGAATTTGGTAACTTCTCTTGCTTTCACCAATCTGTATAGTGCAGAATGCTGAAGTTACATTTTATGAATGGTGAACATTCTATAAACTGTTGACTGTTTTAAGTTTCTTCCTTGTGTTGCAGTTTTTTATGTACATAGGAGGATAAAGCACATTTGACAGTTTTTGCATTTTTATATATGAACAAAGTATAATCCTATGACTGTGCTATATAGAGATCATAAACTGGAATCTGATGAATATGGGTGCTGTACTGTACACTAATATCAAATAGATTGACAAATGATCATTGATTATACTTGTTCAGAATTGGAAAGAAATTTTATATATATATATACACAGAAATCCTCTAGGAAAATACTAAGGAGCTCTGGTGGCACAGTGCCTAAGGCACCTGACTGCTAACTAAAAGGTTGGCAGTTAAAACCACCAGCCATTCTGGAAGGACAATGGGACAATCTACATCCATAAAGATTTACTGCCTTGGAAACCCAATGGGGATCACTATGAGTCAGAATTGACTCAATGGCAGTAGGTTTTTAGGAAAATACTATGAACAATTGACTTTGAGATCAGAAAGAAAAGAAGTCCTGAAAGTCATTTGAACATCTTAGGAAAAGAGCATTGGGAAGGAATCCTGTAAAAGAGGTTTTTATCCTCAGGTCTGCCTCTTATGACCAGAATGCCACAGCTTGCTAAATCATCAGAGAAACATTTAAACTAATGGGATTTTTGTACGGTCTTTCTAGCTGTAGCTCTAAAATGCAACTGCTATAATTGGTATAGAAAGTTAATTTGTAATCTTCTCAAGCCTTTAGGAACAGTGTGATGTGTGACCAAAAACCTCAAATGTGAATGTCTTAATTTTCTTTTTATGAAGATTTTAGCTATAACATTTCCTGTTCCCAAAGCTAAACACTGGAATACTGACTTGTCACTTAATTTAACATAAGCAGTTGTTTTTAATGAGTAGTTTTGTCTCCGTGTTGTGTATATATTTGATTTTTCTCCTTCACATAATTTTGATTTTTCTCCTTCACATAATTTTATTTGAACAAATGTAGACAGTTTTATGTGTTACTTTCTCCTGTTCAAATTTGCATGGCCTCTGTGTTCACTAGGGAGTGTGTCTTAACGGGGAAATAATATTTTTAAGATGTTTCTGAGAGAGTAACATTCCTAGACTGAGAGAAGGAATGCTATACTACTATCTGTCTCTTCAAACCTGAAACACTCCACCTTGTAACAGCAAAATGCAAAGGTCACACTGACATTCAGCATTGAAAACCAAGGAATATACTTAACACTTATCTTTTCAGTTTTCCACAGTTTACTTTCTCCTCGGGAATGAAGGGTAGTCTATGGTAGACAATGGAGTTTTGTGATTTGCTTATCTATCATTGACTGAAAACTAATTTTAACACTGTTGTTGTTGTTGTTTGCCGTGGAGTCGGCCCCAACCCATAGTGACCCCTCCTTGGGTTTCCGAGGCAGTATCACTACGGAAGTAGGATTGCCCAACCTTCCTTCCGAGGAGTGGCTGGTGGGTTTGAACCGCCAGCCTTCTGGTGAGCAGTCAAGTGCCTTAGGCACTATGCTACCAGAGCTCCTAATTTTGACACTAAGATCTAAAATTTGGCATCAGGTTAGACTGAGGCTTTAGGTCATGTGAGTGAGTGCCCGCTGTCCCAGTCCCTTAGTTAATATCTGCAGAGCATAGGGCCATATCAGGGCCTTAACGAACAGATAATGCACAAAGGCACACCCATTCCATGGTATACTTTTAGGAATTCTTCAAGGTGACAGATATTTTGCAGGGCACTGATGCACTACAATTCTCTTGTTACTCATTGGCACGGCGTGGGTGGGGGTGGAGTGGCGTTTATGCCGAGAATTTCTTAATTCTAGTGAGATGGATGTGCTGATATTCAACACAGCGCCTAAACAAAGTGAATGCTGAGTTGTTTCTGAATTCCTCAAAAGAATATGGAAAAAAAGCCTTACCATATATGCCTTATACAGTTCTACTATGATACACACTGGGTTGCCATGAGTTGGAACTGACTGAACAGCAACTGGTTTTGTTGTGGGGGGGGTGCACTTTAATATGCCTAGCTGTCCTGCCATTCTGGCCACATTCATTTTCTATCTCCCTCTGTTCTGACTTAAGACCCTAGTGTGGGTGAGGTAATCATCTTAACCACCTGTTATAGAAGTGATACCATAGCTAATGAAATGTACATAGAAAATCCAAATAAGGAAATGAGTTCCTTTACTAAAATTTCATGAGTCAGAACAAACAGGAAGAAGAATAGTATTTACACTAATCCAGATTTGCTTTCTATGAAAATTCAGTATCTGGATTTTTTTTTCCCTTTCCTCTTGGCCTAAGGAGTAAGTATTGATAAGGAATAATTTGAATGTAATTATTGAATGTAAAATACAAGCCAGGGATTTAATCTTAATAAAGGTAACTTTTCTGAAACCTGTTGTTAACCTCCCTTTGTATTCTTATCCTGTATCTGCACTCTTGTTTTAAGATGTCATATTGCACACTGTATTATAAAAATAAAATACTTCAAATTTAAAAAAGCCACTGAATAATTTTATCATGCTGTCTTCATATCCTCTGTCATTCAAAGCTTCCATACATCTTTTATCCTCGTCAAGGTTTTGCAACCCATCACACCCCTCAAAATAAGCCTCGGCAGAATCAAGGCCATTAGAAACTGAGTAGAACACAAAATACCTATTAAATTGTTATTCAGTAGTCAGTTTTAGGATGCAGTGTGGGAGTGCCCCATTTCCAAAAATACAGATCCTATTTCCACAATTGGTTTTGTTTTTCATTTAAAAAAAAAAAAAAAAAAAAAGCTGTATTAAGGATGGACAGTCTAAGTGGGAGGGGAGCTGCTGCATTGTAAATTTTGGTCAATGACATGAGACAAAGTATATGTGAACTGCTGTATGAAAAGTGAATTTACTCTGTAAATCTTCACCCAAATCCCAATTAAAAAAAAAAAAAAAAGGATGGACAGTCTAAGGTTGTTAACTTGGAAGTTTTCTAGGGAAGAAGGTATGTGATGCTCAGGCAAATTTAGCTTATACACAGTAAGGATCTGATCCTCTGGGGTTAACTGGAATACATCTCCCAAAAAAAAAGCCTCAATGCTATCAAGTCAATTCTGATTCATAGTGAGCCCCCCTCTCCCCTTGGCTTTCTGACACAGTAAATCTTTACAGTAGATTGCCCTATCAACCTTCTGGTTAGCAGTCAAATGCCTGAGGTACTATACCACCAGAGTGCTAGCCATATATATATAGATAGATAGACAGATAGATATATGCATATATATATAAAACTTACTTTATTTCTCTTCTTTATTCTACTACACTAGTCTAGCTACCAAAGAGAGAAATCTATACCAACAGAAACTCCCACCCATGCACACCTACTACCCCAGTCCAGTTTTCTGTTCCTATTACTAATGTATTCCCTTCCCCCTGATACTAGGATCACCCCACTATTTTGTCCTGATTTCTTAACAATATGCTGAATCATAAAATCATCTTCACTTTCGTAGGCATTTTAACCAAGGCCGATGATAAATAGTGGAGATTTAAAAACCCACAGAAGAAATCTGGGTTACATTTTGACTCAGGGCTTTAGAAGTAAATGTTGTGAACATGTCACTGATCTGTACATGTGAAGACTGAACTGTCGATGTGTATTAAAAAGTAAATGTTTCCCAAAATGAAAAAACACTATTCTGACTCCCTACTTCCAGTTTCAAATTAGTGTTTGCCTCACAGAGAGGCAATACAGTGTTATTTGACCTGTCAAAGCCTCAGTTTCCTCATCTACAAAATGGAAATAATATTTTCATTTTACCAGGCTGTTGGGAGGATTAAATTTTGAACAATTTCAGTATTATCTATTTTTAAAAGACTTAAGAACTCAGTTGTTACTGCTTTTATATAATTACTACAAAAGGAGCTCTGGTGGCACAGCAGGTAAAGCCTCTGGCTGCTAACCAAAAAGCTGTCAGTTCGAACCCACCAGTCACTCTGCAGAAGATGAGGTAGTCCGCTTCCACAAAGATTTACAGCCTCGGAAACTCGGGCATTTCTCTTCTGTCCTATGGGGTTGCTATGAGTCAGAATTGACTTGATGGCAGTGGGTTTTAATCACTACTAAATTTATATTCAATCTGAGATTTTATTCTGTGAGCAACAGTAAAATTCCCTAAAAATCAACTTCCCCGTGACAGGTCTTATATCTTACCTTTAAATATAGAGGAGGCAGAAAGGATAAAAGTTGAAACTGAAAATAGATTGTTATATTCAACACTTCCTAGAGCTTTATGACTTCTTATTACTAATTACTCACCATGTACCTCAAAAATTTTCCTTTGTGAATTGAAGGATTAAAATAGTATGTACCACTTCGGGTTGTCATGATGACGTACGTAATGACTTAAAACAGTACCTGGCACATAAAATTTTATAAAATTGATTTT